AGATTATAATCTTTGCAATCGGTGAAAATGTAATCTTTATTCCCGTTTGTGACACTGTGGAGGCCTAAAATACGGGAACCAATCAGAAATGGATTCAAATTGTCTTGACTCTCAGTATAAAGGGACTCTAACTCACACAAGCGCGCAGCGCCGAACCTAGCTTCACTTTTTCCCCGTGCTTTTAGATACGAGCGCTCCGTCTTTATGTCTTTGCAAGCAACACCAACTTCTAGCAGTTCTAGCGATGAGAAATTGGAGGTTATAGGGCGAGTTAGTCGATAATCAGAGGCACTACTACAAATTAGAGTCCCTACAAATTATTACACAGTCGGGCATCTAAACCTTTATACTAACCCTTTATACTCTCTGTATTATTTTTATTTCATTTTATTTCATTAAATTACTTTTCCTGCTGATGCTTCAATTTTATCATGGTACTTATCTTACTTTTTGTAGTCTGAACTGAACTTCTGCCTTCATCTCTCAGCACCTTGACGAAAATGCAGGCGGAAGATGGTGACTTATATGCACTTCAGAGACTACTCAGTGTCAACCAAATCAAAACAAGCGCTTATTATTTCAATGCCAAACGACATGTTCTAGCTCTCGTTTCAGGGTAAGTCTCCGTAACTTTTACATTTTTTGCGTGTCTATAAGGTCAGAGTTTTATGAGGAGCGGTAGCTACCTCTTCAAGCTACGAAATCTGAAACAGTAATAACTGCTTACATTACCCTTGACCAGCAGGATTTGTATGCATTCGTAGCTGTCACCTGCCAGTAACTCTCTCAGTTACGAGCACTGTCCCTGTTTGGAAAACTATTTTCCCAGTATGATACCTAAGGCCAGAGTGCAAGACCACACAGGTATCTTCGTTTGGGATGTTGTAGACTTCTAGTCATACTTTAAGTATTTTTTTTTCAACTAAAAACTACTTCAATTTTTTTGAAAACCAGTCCATGTAATTTCTTGAGAACTTCTTTGATTTTTCTGCTCTGTTTGTAGAATATTTTATATGAATTTCAAGCTATGACGTTGACTTGTTCTTCCTCATTAAAATACACTAAAGAGCAGAGATTTTGATACCTTGCAATGGAGACAGTCATTGCAGCTTTGCATGATAGCCATTGCAGCCTTGCAAGATAGCCATCAATATGATGATGATGGCAAATAGCTAATCTAGTTGAAAGATTTACTCTCAGGATTTATGTTTGTACAAGCACTTACCCAGTATCAGTGTCTTGTCTTAATGAGCAAGGTGGATAAAGAATGGTGGTCGCATTTTGTACCCTCTGGACATCACACGGGATCGGGTACATGGGCCGACCAAGGCCAGAGGGACTGGTTCAATCTCGGATTGCACGGCAAAACCCTCCCTCCTGACATCACAACACTTCAAGGTGGCAGCCAAAACCGAAATGCAACCACCATTTTTAATTCGCCTTGCTTAATGAGAGATCATGGGGCCAATTCCAAAGCCCCNGGGGGGGGGGGGGGGGGGGGGCTAACATCCATACATCCAAGGGGGGACTTGGAGTGAAATTCATAATCTATTTAAAATTTTCTGAACAAAAAAGAAAACAGAGAAAAACCTCCCCCTCACCCCCCTCTATATCACAACTGAAAAGTTGCTCGCAAGAGGTTTAGGAGCCAACTGGCAGAGTAAATTCAATTTTTAAGGGCCAATTGGCGCCACCTTATTTTACACCGATTTGATCATCACCAATCAATCATTCTACACCGATCAGTAGTAAGATTTGTTGTGCTTCAAATGCAGCTGCTTGCTCTATAAATTCAGCTCTATGCTGATATGATTGACAAAACATCACCAATGAGAAAAATTAGAATAGCAGCAATGTTTCAGGGGCTATGCCTGATTTCTTAGGGGCATTTAATGCAATGGCGCCCGTGATTTTTGAAGACTATTGAGGAGATATACCTGCATTTTTGTATATTTATCTCTATTTTGACCAAAGTGCATCTAGTGCAGTAAGTAAGTAAGTAAGTAAGTAAGTAAGTAACACACTAGAGGACTTTAGGTTGATTTTCCTTTTTGATTAGGTTCTCTTATTTTGACTAAGAAAAGGACCTAGGTATGATAAAATATTTCATCCACTTTTGGACTAAAAATACAAATGAAAAGATGATTGAGTGTGCACAATTGAAAATTAAATGACCAAAATTCGAATTAAAATGTGTCATTTTTTCTTATCTTGCAGGACTGGAGGCATAATTATCTATGCTAATTTAGAAGCTCACCCAAAACCACTCCTTCGCTGGATACCATGGTTTGAAGACAGAGATAAAACAATTCAATCAATCTGTTTTCAGCAATCATTTGGAGCATGGATGGCTGTTGTTTGTAAGTACCACAAAAGTAATTTTTTACTCTGATTCATATGGGGTAAAGATTGTTTTCAATGTGTTTTCTGGACTACGGCTGTAATTGAAAGAATGAAAGTTAATTGGTCAGCAAATTCTCGGAGACTTCATGTTTCCTCTCTACTACTTTTTCCTTTACCATCTATTGAAATGGAGCTATGAGTAATGCTGATTTTAAGTGCTTTATGAAAACTACTTGAAGGGCTTGAAGCTTTAAATGGCTAAAGAGTAGAGACCAAGGCAAACACTGCATGTAACTACAAAGATTGAACCAAGTAAAAGTAGTTGATGATGTCATCGGAGGCTTCCAGTGGCGCCAGTTGAAGAGTTCTCCTGTAGAAGGGTGTTTTTACGGGATATCATGAGATATCCTGTATAAACACACTTCGATGGTTGAGGGACGATACCGCCAATTTGCAAACTAAAGTTTTTGCAGGACAAAGAAGAAACTTCTTCATTTTTGTAATATTGTAGTTAGATTTTTAATTTTTTTTTTTTTTTTTTTTCCAATACATCACAGCATGTTCATAGCGCTCCTGTGCAGAATTGAAAATAACTGAAAACATCATCTTGAGTTTGTAATACTGATGAATGCAGCAAAATCACTAACTCATTTTTGCCAAAATTGTCAGTTAGGCAGTATTGTTCCTTAGCCCTCGATTTGAAGTTTTATTTCAATCCCACAACCTGCTTGTTTGATGATGGGACAAACTGAGTCCATCATTCCTCTTTCCACTGATTTAGACCGTAAATCGACCAAAACCCTGTTTCCATCTTCATGAAGTTCTCTCATGAGAAATTGTGAGTAAGCCCTCCTAAGGAGCCCTATTACCAGCAATCTAATACAATTTCCTCTAAAGAGCGTGTAGAATGGTCTTTTTATGTTTGTTTCCATTTTTGTAGCATGTAAAGTTTCCTACCTGTTTATTACAAATATTTTGTCAAGAATAAATTCGCAGCACACATTAAAGGCTTAGAAAAAACGACCGCAGCCTAGAATCAATAGCCCAGTGACCTTTTTTCTCGTTTTTCTATCAAACGGTTCATTTTCGATGCAAATGTCTCGACATTTTATAGAGAGCGTAACATTTCCTATCGGCTGATTACATAAAATGGATTAAAAACAATTTTTAAGGCCAAGAATACGGGTTTCAAAAATTGCCGCGGCAAAAACTTCGCGGGATCAGCGGCCTTTCTTCTCATTTATCTCTTGAACGTTTCATTTTAGTGGAATGTATCATCCTTTTTTAAAGCACGTATAATTTCCTTCTAGAAAAGTCCAAAAAATAACTTTAAAACAATTCTGAGACCCATTAAAAACTAGTTGTAAAAGGTGCCACGGCTAAACATTTTTGGAACAGCGGACCTTTTCTCCTATTTTTTATTAATCTATTCATTTAGGAGTGAAATTTCGCTGGATTTGTATTAAAAACCGTAAAATTTCCTATGAGCCAATTACAGACGTATCCAAAAATAATTTCCGTGACTGCTAATACGGGCTTATAAAAAATACTAGGGCCTGAGGCCACTACGCGGCTGCTAAACACTGGAAGGGAACTGCTCGTAAGAAATCATAGAACAACCACGTTCAAGTTATTTATTATAATTGAATAGCAACTTGAATTTACAGTAAATTTTGAAAGAAGATATAACATGCTCTGAAATTTTGGAAAATGAAATTGGAATTTTGAATTTATCATTATTTAATAACAATTTAAATATATAATCTGGAAAAATTAAATTATTCCGAAAAATAATTTCGGACTTTTAAATGTGAAGTGCTAGTATTGTGATGCCTTGCATTTCAAAAAAGAGGAGATGAACGGCCATTTTAACAGATGTTGTCATAATGGTCTTCTCAGACTTGCCAAGCCTGGAATCAAAGACCAATTTTGCGACCTCTTCTCCAAACCCATTTTCATGACCAACATTTTGAGGTACATCAGTTGTATGGCTTTTGCATCTCTGTCTGCTTCCAAAGCCCATATAATTTTGAACCAAATCTTCCGCTATTGAATACGAAAAATCATGGAGAATTTAAGTTTTATGTTGACCAGCTTCTCGAAAGAAAAATAAAATTTCAAAGGAAGTCTGCAACGTCGCAAATGGAGAAACGTCGTCTCTCATTTTGCCCAACAATATGTATGGATAAAATTGAAGGCATTATTACTGGCCCCTCTCAACTTATATTCGTATGTTACGATAAACAATGGGACGCGTTTGCTACGGCACGTTGATACAACTATACAACCTCGACGGATGTCCGTATTGCGTTCAGAAAATTGAAGGCGTTTTGACCCCCTGCTCATACTACCTGTAGTTGATTCGATCGACAAACGCGTTGGTCGGCGGTGACAGGGACTTGATGCATTTTTTTCAACTTGATGGATGTCCGTATCGCACCGACTGAAGAGCGAAACCACGTATCTCCATTGTGGTGTTTCAAAATTTCCGTCCTTAATTCATCTCTTCCATGAGAAACAATCCATTTTTACGACTTTAAATTTTGAACCAAATTTTCTGCTAATAAATTAAGAGCAAATGACAATGTGGGAGACCATGCTTTAGCAATTCAATTACATAAACATGTGCAACAACTCTACCCAGAACATTTTCTTTTAATACATCTCTTAGTAATTGATCCAATTTGCAATGAAAAACTCGTGAAACTAATTCTGGACGATTTGCAGCAGTTTCTTTTGGCGCTAAAGCAGCGGTTATTTCCGACCATTTCGGGTTACACGTCATTGTCAAAAAAATGTCTGGTTTGCCATACACGCGGACAATTGCCATGGCATCTCGATATCTTTGAATAAGATTACGGGGGCTGCCTTCAAAAGAAGATGGTAAAACTACAATTCTTCCAACATTCATATCATCGACTCTTGCTTTATTCAGAACAAAATCTTGCAACCCAGCATAATGTTCAACTCTGAGTTCGGACTGATGCTCTCTAATATAATGAAGCCTCTCACGTTCGACACGAACATATAAATCTACAATTTATTGTTGAAATAATTTCTTTGATTGGTGAATATGGGAAAATGCTGTTCTAATGGCAAGCCTGTAACACGCGAATTGTAGCATGGTTACATGTTTGCGATTTGGCTGCTTGCGTGGTCCATTATGCTCCATTTTAGGATCCCAGCCTGGCTCGCCATGAGCATAGAGCAAAGGATAAATCATTGGATCACAATGAGGACTTAATACAGATATTTGGTTGGCAGAAGATTTGGTTCAAAATTATTTGAGCTTTGGAAGCAGACAGAGATGCAAAAGCCATACAACTGTTGTACCTCAAAATGTTAGTCATGAAGATGGGTTTGGAGAACAGGTCGCGAAGTTGGTCATTGATTCCAGGCTCGGCAAGTCTGAGAAGACCATTATGACAACATCTGTTAAAATGGCCGTTCATCTCCTCTTTTTTGAAATGCAAGGCATCACAATACTGGCACTTCACATTTAAAAGTCCGAAATTATTTTCCGGATAATCAAGGCATCACAATACTGGCACTTCACATTTAAAAGTCCGAAATTATTTTCCGGATAATCATTTCCGATAAAATTATCAGTGCTCTGCCGAAATGGATTGAGGTTATTTCCCTGTTCAGCCGTACGTCGTACATTATCCATCTCCTTTGAGACAGCCATCATGCCGCACTTTGCGTCGCGCGGATAAATTGCGAGAAACATTGCCACGCTTCGCCAGACGCCCACGTTTTCGACTCCGATCCATTCCCAATATTAAAACGAATACGCGCACTTTACTAAAAATTCGGGATTCTTCATACACGACAAATATTAACAAAATTCAAAAGACGACGCGCACTGTACGAAAAGATCGGAATTCTTCATTTTGCGTCGCGCGGATAAATTGCGAGAAACATTGCCACGCCTCGCCGGACGCCCACGTTTTCGACTCCGAACCATTCCCAATATGAAAACGAATACGCGCACCTTACTAAAAATTCGGGATTCTTCATACACGACAAATATTAACAAAATTCAAAAGACGACGCGCACTGTACGAAAAAATCGGAATTCTTCATAAACGACGAATATCCATGACGACGAACGCCTCGGGCAGCCGAGTCATCAGCTGACCGAGAACGAACAGCACGGGGAAAACGAAAAACCGCGCATCTCCCAGCGGGACAAACGGGATAAGCGATCTTTCGGAGGGCGCGAGGGGCGCGGGGCCCGACGCGCGATCCCCGTATTTTTCCCGACCCCGCGGGACCGGGACGGTCCCGCCGGCACCTCCGACGCCCGGATCGGCACGACGGTCGCGGCGCAATTTCGAAACAGAAATCGGGCTTACGGAATTATATACATATTAGGATTCACGGGCAACGAGCTCCGGTGGGAGCAAAGACATGAAGACGGAGCACTAAAAGCAAAAAATGAAGCTTCTAGAGCTTCTTTTCAATCACCTCTACTATTGGCTAGAGGATTGGCGGCGAAATCGGGACAAGTTTGAATTCAAATGTAGGGCGGGAACTAATAAATAAAATTGCGGAAACAAAGTATTTTAGGTTGATTTTTGCCCAAATTCAGGTACACACTCATATTTTTTTAACTTTAGGTTAGTTTCAGTCCGTCGTCGACCGATTAATTTCATTTGGGAGTAACGTTGATCTAGAACTGTAACGGCCTGTTTGAACCTGCAGAACCACCATGAGCAGAAGAAAAACTAACTTTATGTGAGATTATTGCCTGTTACCGAGCAAAAGTAGGTGTATTATATTAGGACGCAGACCGAACTTTCTTAGTAAATTCGTTTTAGGAATTTAAAATACGTTTCAAAGAAGAAATGTGCAAAAATCAAGAGGACAAGTTCAAATCAAATTTCCGTTTGCCGCCATGGATTCCCGCGCTCATCTACACACTCACACAAGCGCGCAGCGCCGAACCTAGCTTCACTTTTTCCCCGTGCTTTTAGATACGAGCGCTCCGTCTTTATGTCTTTGGGTGGGAGCC